TAGTGATGGTTAGGTCTCCAGCCTTGTTGGCCGAAATCCTCTTCCCGTCTATCCTAACGGGCGCCGCCCCTCGATACCACGTCAGGGTGGGCGTGGGCGGGCCCTGGGCGCGGCAGTGGAGGGTGGCGTGGGTGCGAGCGGGCAGGGTTTGGTTGGCGGGCGGGACGCTGATGATGGGTGGCGGGGCGTGGCGGGGTGCCACGAGGGTGAGCCAGGCGCGGGCGTGGGCGGCACCAGCTTCACTCACCAGAGAACACGTCCACGTGCCCCCCTGTGTACGCCGCACGGGCGTGAGCACCAGCGTCCCGTCCTCACCCACGTGGGCGTTCTCCCCCGCCCACCCCGCGCCCACCGGCTGCTGTGGCAGGGAGGAGTGGGTCCAGACGGGCGTGGGTGGGGGAGTGCCACGCCCGTAACAGGGCAGACGCACCGTTGTGTTCAGGATAACAGAGGTGTCAACGGGACCCGACACCAACATCGGCGGATCTGTCAATTAAAAAATATGTTAGTTCAACGTGTTCACTCAAACGTTCAGAATTGGTCTGCTTAAGCTTAACCAATTCTTCAGCTTAGCAAAAGCTAAGCTTAAGAAATGGTTAAGCTTCGATCCTCCATCCGCTAATCACTGCCTGATCCCTGAGTAGTTAGGCTGTGGGGAAAAATGGAATCTACCCAAAAAAAAAAAAAAGTTTGAAATACATTAAAAAATACGTGAAAATATTGCCAAAATCGTCCAAATCGGAAGGCAGGCTTGACGTACGGTAGGGAAGAGTCCCACCTATTCCTTACGTCAAGAGTCCGTCCGTCACCGGCACTTACCATAGACGGTGAGGGTGGCGTTGGCCACTACGGTGGCTACGGCGTTCTCCGCCTGGCAGATGTAGGCACCAGCGTCTTCTACCGTGAGGCCGCTGATCCTGAGAGAAGAGTCTGCATCCAGACGCGCCCGTCCCACGGGCATGCGTCCATCATGGCGTCTCCATAGGACGTGGGGACGTGGCGACCCTCCTACACGACAGCGAAGTGTAGCCTCGCCGCCCGTCACGCTAGTTACGTCGCTCGGCAGTCGTACGAAGAACGGTCGGACTGTCAGGGAGAGATTATTTTTTAACTCTCCGTCAGTCTGCCACCGAGGTAGGGTGATCCGACAAAGAAAAAAACACTTTCACTCTTATTTAATCACTATCTTGCCAGAAGCACAGTTCAGATGACCTTCCAAACCACTATCTCCCCACCCTTCCTTCAGAGTGCTGGCACTCTACCTTCCACCTTCAGGACTCAAAATCGGCTTACTGATTTCCTTGAATCCCTTCATAAATGTTACTTACCTTGCTGACACTCCAACAGCACGTCAAATTATAAAAAAAAAAAAAACTTTGCCTACACTCACTCCCATCTAATATACACAACCAAACCTGTTGGATGTTTTAGCCCCTAGCACTCAGTAATTCCTTTAACCCCCTCCCTCCAACTTTTTCTAGGACAAACCCTACCCCACTTTCCCTCCACCCCAGATTTATATGCCCTCTTAGTCATCCTATTTTTTCTCCATGTTCTCTAAATGTCCAAACCACCTCAGCAACCCCTCCTCAGCCTTCTGAATAACATTTTTGATAACTCCTCACCTGATCTCCAAATTCCAGACTCCCTACATAACTTTCACACCACACACTGCCCTCAAACACGACATCTCTATAGCCCTCAGCCACCTCTCTGCAACATTCAAAACCCATGCTTCATGCCCATGCAACAGTATGGATACCCCATTTTGCCTCCATAGATAAAGTTCTTCGTCTCTCACTGCACCACTCCTTTCTTTCCCTTCGTCAACCCCATGGTTTACCTTATCTTTCGTAAAACCATCTGCCGACAAGTCCGCTCCCAAATATCAAAAACACCTTTCCTTCCTCCATATTCCCTCCCTCTGATCTAATATCAAATCTCTCTTTGCCCATATATTTTTTATTCTCTCATCACCAAGAAGGTGTTTCAGTGTAAGGAGGGTTGGAGGCTCGATCCTTCGTCCTGCTAATCGAGAGCTAAGCCCGAGAGGGATCACACAGCAAGTGGGAAATAGGGGGCAATCGGATTTAATCTAAGGAGAAAAATAGATCCAATTCCTTGGATCATGATCTCTTTACCGGCTTTAAAGGGGAAACCTTGTCTTCCTTCCATTTCTCTTTTTTAAGGGTCGAACGTAACAGGTAAGGAAGAGAGTGCATTAGTACCGGGAGGAATGATCTCAAAATGGAACGAGAGGAATGTCAGAAGAGCATTCAGTGCTGGAAGAAGGAACAGCCCCACAAAGCTAAAGAAAAGGCGAGAGGAATGTGATCGTGCGTCGGGGGTGAGAGATGAGATAGTTCCTGTTTCTGAAAGGCTGGCTAGCCAACCGAACACTAGCGAGATAGAAAAATGTCTCGTGAGCAGGTAAGATGACTCAGTGGACATCTCGCGTCCATTAGTGAGGAGGGAGAGAGGGAGAGGGAGAGGGAGAGAGAGAGAGAGAGAGAGAGAGAGAGAGAGAGAGAGAGAGAGAGAGAGAGAGAGAGAGAGAGAGAGAGAGAGAGAGAGAGAGAGAGAGAGAGAGAGAGAAAGAGAGAGAGACAGACAGACAGACTGGACATTGCTGGCGCTTTCGACCGGGTGTGGCACCAGGGCCTCTTAGCAAAGCTTCAAGCACTGGGAATTGCAGGCTCTACGCTATGTCTCCTCAGTGATTACCTTCATGGTAGATCTCTAAGTGTAGTTCTCAATGAAAAGAAATCAGTAAGACATCCTATTGGGGCAAGTGTTCCACAAGGAAGCGTGCTGGGACCATTGTTATGGAATGTCTACTTCACGACCTTCTTCATCTCATCCCAGAATCACATGCATATGCAGACGACTGCACACTGACATTCACTTATCCAAGAAAAGAAATGCCAGCTGCTCTAAGCTACATCAATCACCAGCTGAGAGCTATATCAGCTTGGGGAAATAGATGGCAAGTAACATTTGCACCTGAGAAAACGCAAATGATGATCGTCTCTAGGCACCATGATGGTAATGCTGGTGCAGTAGTAAGGATGAATGGGAGGGTGTTGGCACCCGGAGAAGAAGTTGATATCCTTGGGGTGAAATTTGACTCCAAACTAACCAGGAAGAACCATGTTGTAAATCTTGCAAACAAAGCAGCCAGGAAGCTTACAGCACGTCGCCGTATCTCGCATCTACTTAACAGTAGGGGTTGCAAGATTCTGTACGAGGCACAAGTACGCTCGCACCTTGAGTATGCTCCACTTTCTTGGTTTGCCTGCCCCCCCTCTCATCTGCGACTGCTTGACGGAGTAGAGAACACAGCAAGACGTCTCATCTCTCGCCTGGACCCATCCTGGATAGATCTGTCATTTCAGCAAAGCCTTTAACATAGGAGGGATGTGGGTGGCCTTACTGTTAAGTACAAGGCCAATATTGTCAAAGTACCACACTTGGATCCACTTCGAGGACAGCGTGAAACAAGCTTTTATGCCACAAGACGGGCAGAAAGCAACAACTTCACTCTGGCTATACCCTTCTCCAGAACTTCACTCCATCTGAGATCCTATATACCCAGGATGACTCGAGTATGGAACACATTCATACAGCATAATGATGTCAACGAGATAAAGTCAGTTGATCAAATGAAAATGCTGGCCCACAGATGGCTCCAACTTCATCCTGTTCCCTACTTGTATGTCTCATAACAATAAAAATGCTTTCAAATGAGCTGATGTAGGTAACAGCTCTTAGCTTGCCAATAAAACTAGGAATCCTTAACCTGTAAATAGCTTGTCAATAAAGCGAGGGATCCTTAACCTTGTCTAACCCTGTGTAAAAAAAAAAAAAAGAACACAGCAGAAGAGAGAGAGAAGAGAAGAGAAGAAGAGAGAGAGAAAAGAGAGAGAGAGAGAGAGAGAGAGAGAGAGAGAGAGAGAGAGACGAGCAGAGAAAGTCCCAGGTGCTGGACCCACGTGTTCTGTTATGGGCGGCCTGGTGTCATACCAGACCGCATTAGTTGGAACGATCTTTAAGACAGTTACTATACAGTGAACGAAAAAAAAATGAAAACCTTACTGAACAAGCTTTTAAGGGGACAACATTTGGATCTTTTCAGACCTTCCGAACTTGGTAAAAATCCAAACAGATCGAAACGCTGTCCCAATTAAAGCAATACGTTTCGATTCAACAGTTACCCCATGACAAGAGATAGAAACAGAGAGAGAGAGAGTAAAATATAGAAAAGTGGATTTAAATAGTGAATTATCAACAAATTACAGTACAAACACATGTTTCCCGAGTAGCAACATTTCGCAGATTGCGAAGCTCTATCATGTTATACGGAAGACATGAAATACAAGTTGTCCCAATGAATGTTTGGTAAGTGAAGTAAGCGAAGGAGTAAGCGAAGGACAAAATATACTAAATTCTTTTTCTCACTGCTAATGCCTCAGAAACAATGAATTACGATAATAAGTGTTTTATAAATATATGATGAAGGAATAAGGACATGTGTTCTTAAAAGCAAAGGTTACAGAGCAATAGAGCGGACAAAGAACACCAAATTAGATGGAGAAGGAAGATGAAAAAAAAGCGTAATATACTTCAGGCGATGCTATGTACAAGGAAGAGGGAAGGAGGGTGGAGAAAGGAAGAAACAAAACCAAGAACTGAGCAGCTCTGCTGCAGGTCTAATGTCCCCTGTTAGGTTTCTCGTGGTGATTTAAAACGATGTAAGCCATGAGTTTATCAATAAAAAAGACAGAAAACCAAATACCATTGTATTCTTCATACTCTCTGCAGAAGCGGTTCTTGGAAACATGCAAGTAGTTCTTCCCTCTTACGAGTCAAATTCTCCACAGGCAACCGGAAACCCAGACAACATATCGATCTTATCGCTTGCAACCACAAGCCCACGGACTCAAAATTTTCCTAAGGATGCATCCAGGGAATCGTCACCGTAGTCCTCCTTTATATGTGCTTTCTAAATATTACCTTATTGTCTTACATGTGTTGGGAAAAGAAACCCAACAGCTGAAAAAGGAGGTGTTATACTCGACAAGGTCATTAAAAAAAAAAATGGACTCTCTGGGAGAAGCCAGAAAAATACTATCACTCTTCACCCAAGGCAAAAAAAAAAAAAAAAATACGTAATTTCCTACCTGTCACCCCTCAACATGCACACATTTATGGGCTTCCGAAAAGCCATAAAGCTAATATTCCTCTACGTCGTATCACGTCAGGCATCGGGAGTGCTTCAGAGTTCTGGCTTAAAGACTGTCCATAATGTTAGGTACTATCAGCCACTCTCATTTTAATCACTCTGAAGATCTCATTACCCGACATCATAATGTCACCATGAAGAATAAACCAAGTTATCGTGTTCCTGTACAGCCACATCGCCAGTCTTCACTTCCCACTATCTTTTCCAGACTTCGTTGATTTATTTGAGATTTGAGTTCATTTCGACCTATTTTCTTTGGAGTTAGATCTCTGTCGGCATAAGTTTATATGGTCAAGGGTTCACCACTGAGTGTTGTGCTGTGCTACAGTTTTTGCGGAATCATTCAATGGCACATTACGTGGCTCAGGTACGTTGACGGCGTAGCGGTAGTAGTACCGAGAGACTTAACCTCACCAATTTCAAAGATCAACGCAACCACATCGAACTTTCAATTCAGCTTTGTCTCTATGCAAAGAAAAGAAATGACTGTGGGTAAACACACTTATGTACAGTCCAGGGCTATACGTTTCTTTTAATAAATTTCCTGAACCATAAACAAGTGTCTTTGTCGACAGTCTGTTAATATTAAACCATTTACAAAGAGATGACTTTCTACCCTTCTCAGTTGTACTCTTTGCCAAGACAGGTCAACACTTATAATGCAGTGTTTACGGATAACCTTCCAAAAGAGGCGGTCTAACATATATATATTCCTACCACGATCACAAAAAAAAAACAAAAACAAAAGGGAAGTTATTATCGGTTACATTTTTCGCCTTCTCAGAATCTACAGCTAAAAATTCTTCACACTGCAAGAAAATGTTGAGATAACTAATAATAAAAGAGCAGCGCAACGTAACTGACATTCC